GGACACCGCGCCCATCAGTTTCTCTCACAAGCAAGTGGGGGACCCCTGAGGCAACGCCTGGTATGGGGAATGAGGAGAGCCTTGAACATGGACAAGATGGGCCAAGATTGCCTGCGAGTCGGCCGAAGGCTGCCAGTCCGCAGTGGACCCGACGACGGCCCAAAAGGGTCCAAGAGGCCACCAGAGGCCCAGCGACTTTGCGGGCCCGGAGAACCCCCAAGGTCGGAGGACGACAACGGGCCGGGGGTGCCGCGGCCAGGGGGGAGGGGGAAAGGGAGAAGGGGAGGACCCAGGACTACTGCGATCCAATCTGGAGGAGTAGTTGCGTCTTTGTCTCTAATATTGCGGCCCGCAGAAAACGCGCAAGAGACGCCCAGGACTCGATCGAGACTCTCGTGGGCTGCTCCGCTCTTGCTATGGAAAATACATCTGCGTAGGATTCAGCCGGTAGCCCCGCAGGTATTGTGAAAAAGGTTTCCTCTTCATCATCATTCCGCGTCGGAGTCAAAGGGGACGTCGGTGTAGTACGCACTACACCCGAGACCTTTGAGGTCATCCCCGCAGCCGTCCTTGCCTTCTTCGACTACCTTGGGTATCTTGCGTGGCCGCAAGGTCGCAAAACCACAACGGGCCTGAGGGGGGCCGCGGTCGTCCGGGCGGTAGCCTCTGGCCGGCAGAAGAAACGCACCGAAGGGCTTGGGCGTCTCTTAAAGGGGGGAGCAACAAGGGGGGGGGGAAGCAATACGGGGGGGAGCAAGCAATACAGGGAGGGGCAATCAAGGGGGGGCTTGAAGGGGGAGCCATACGAGGGTGGAGCAAGAAGGGGGGAGCAATACAGGGGGGGGGGGGGGGCAGAAAGGCGCACTTCTCGGGTCCAGCGGCTCTCCTTTGGGCCCTAACGGGCTCCCTTGCGGTAAAACAGGGCTAGGATCGGGATAAATCGCTCCAGAGCGTTCCGGAGCGCTCTCAGAGCGTTCCGGAACGCTCTGGAGCGGCCGCGGCGCCCGATACATCCCCCAAACCCGCCGATTCTCAGAGATTTCGAGTTATCCCGATCCGATTTCGTCCCGATCTTCGCGTCGTTTGATACGGGCCCCAAGGGCCCCTTCTCCTGCACCCACTACGCACCCCCTCCAGAAGGGCCGAGGACTCGTGCGACCGGGCCTCAGCTCGACCCTGGGCCCCGAAGGGGCCCGCCCCGGGAGCGGGCCGAGGCCGAGGCCGAGGGGAGGAGCGCCCGCGGGGGTCCGGCGGAGCGGGGTGGTGGTGGGAGCCTCTTGGCGGCGCGCAAAAGGGGGTAGGGGGAGGGGGGAAGGCTTCTTAGAAGCACCCTGCTTCTTAGAAGGCCTCGGCCTTACGTCTATAGAGAGGGCCCGCGCCTTCTACGAAGCAGGGGTGCTTCTAAGAAGCCTTCCCCCTCCCCCTACCCCCCTCTGCGCGCCGCCAACGAGGGCGGCGGGGCGGCCGCCCGACGCCCCCCCCCCCCCCGCCCGAGGGGAGGCGGGCCGAGGTGGGCCGAGGGCTGCAGCCGTGAGGTGCCCGAGAGGCGCGGTCTGCAAAGAGGGCACCGGGCAAAAGCGATCCGAGCTTCTCGGCAGTCGTCTTCTGGTGAGGCGAATAGAGGCGGCCCGTATCTCGGGTCGGGCGAAAGGGGGGGATAGCAAAGGGGGGGTTTGAGAATCAGCTCACGTAGCTGATTTTCCCGGCGCCGCCCGGCGCCGGAGGCGGCCATGCATCGAGGAATGGGCCCCTCGGTGAGGCCGAAATCAGCTGCATGCAGCAAATTTCGTAACCCCCCCTTTCCCAATCCCCCCCTTTCGCCCGGCCCGAGAAGCCGCAATGGCGAGGAGGAGGAGGAGGAGGAGGAGGAGGAGGAGGAGGAGGAGGAGGAGGAGGAGGAGGGAGGGAGGGAGGGAGGGAGGGAGGGAGGGAGGGAGGGGCCTTGGGAGGCCCTGTGGGCACTTTGCGGGCGGGGCGCGGCCAGCGAGAGCCGCCGGCTTTTTGCGGGGGGGGGGGCAAGGATGCAGGGGTACCCCCTGAGGAAGGCTGCCTGTCCTTACTCTGCGGGTTGACGTAGATGAAGGGGAACTGGGACACACAAATAAATACACACAAATAAACATATCCCCCATATTTTCCCATATTTTCTGGGTTTCTGTCTCCCCCCCCCACTTCCCATATTTTCCGATATTTTCTGGGAATCGTCGATTAATTGTGTCTGTGTGTTTTTTCCCCTCCTGAGTAGATTGGCCCTGGTCTTCTGAAACATCAAGACAAGGAGCCCTTGTTGCTCGGTGGTGGCCGCCGGTGTTGATGTGCTGCGGCGCGGGGACCCCAGCAACAGCGCAGCGGTGTCTGCACCCCCTGGCGTCGGTTGGCTCGGGGAGGGAGCTTTTGGGGAGTCGCGGCGCGAATGCCGCTGCGTCCTGGACGGTCTTGGTTTACGAGGTTCCCGTTTTGAGAAACAGGCCCCGCAAGAAGTGACATCTGCCACGTGTTTCACACTTCTGGCCGTGAACGTCGAGCAAACCTCAAGCGGGAGCCCCATCCGAAAAAGGGGCCACCCTCTGTCAACGCAGGTGCACCGTATATTCTGAAGGGGCCCCAGGACACACAAATAACTACACACAAAGAAAAAGACTCCCCATATTTTCCTATATTTTTGGGGTTTCTTCTCCCCCCACACTTCCCATGCGTTCCAATATTTTCGGGGGAATCGACGATCAATTGTGTCTGTGTGTGTTTCTTCCCCTCCTGATATTCACATGTTTCTGGCCGCCAGGTTTTTTATAGACAGTCCCACGCGAACGCCGACTTTGCAAAAGGAGCCGCCCTTCACCCATGCTCCACGCAGCTGCTGCAACTGTCCGAGCTGCTGGTCTCGAACACGGGGAACGTCTCAAGCGAAAGCCTCGCTTGGATAAAGAGCCGCCTCAAAACCATCCCTGTATCGTATGCGAGCTGTGCACACGAATGCGCGCGGTGATAAGGCGAGAGCCCTATTCTGAGAAAGAACCGCCATCATTGAAACTTCTTGCGAATGTTAAAAAACGGATGCGTGCGGAACTAAGCCACGAGTGCCGTGTTGAAAACGGCCCGCCCTCCATCACTGAAGCTGTTGCAAACTTCGAAGACGAGTGTGCGCGGCGCTGTTGCGAGAGCTCCATTTTGAAATCGGCCCGCCTTCCATTCTTAACGCTGCTGCGAACTTTGAGACGAGTGTGCGCGACGCTAGAAAGGGGAAAGCTCCATTTTGAGCACGGCCCGCCCTCCAGCCTTGAAGCTGTTGCAGCATTTTCAGCTTCATGAAAATGCATGCTGAGGGAACTTCGGGCGAAACGCCGGACCCTCCCTACAAACACGCCTGGGGGTGCGGAAGAGGAGGGAAGAGTTCCGCATAAAGAAAGTGTTGAGGAGGACGAGGAGGACACCACCTGTCTGCTTACCCCAGCCATGTTGGCCTCAGGGGCAAAGGGCACAGCTCCCCTCCTGGGTCGTGGACCCGCAACAAGAGTTCGTGCACACAGGACGTGCAAGCTATGTAAAACAAACTGTTTGGTACAAGCTACGTGTCTCAAGCTAACCATGCCGTGTGAGCCATGAGGTGCAGGTTGTGTGGCGTAAGGATGCTGTTCAAGCTGCGGGATGCAACCAAGGTGTTGCAAGCTATGCAGTGCAAGCTACGTGATTCAAACTATGTGGGTCCAAATCTGTGCACTATGTGGTGCCAGCTGTATAGCCCGTACGGTGCAAATTGTGGGGGTGCCAACTGTTTGTGTGGTGCAAGCTCTGTGGTGTAATCTATATGGGCCCCCATCATCCCGTTCCCCTCCTCCACGCTCTTTTGCGGAATGTTGCCTCTGGCGGGGGCTGGCGTCAGACGCGGTGTCTGAGGTCCCCAAGGCGATCCTCAAGAGGCAGCCAAGAGGCATCCAAGAGGCATCCAAGAGGCCCAGGAGTGCCTTCACGAGGCCTCGAAGGCGCCTCCAAGAGGCAACCCATATCGCAGGACTGCGCATCATTCCCAAACATGTTCTCAGGATCCTTGCATGGGGGCTCTCCAGAAACATGGGTTGGAATACTGATGCGGCATTCAAAGGGTTCCACGCGTAATCGTTCGCGCGTGCCTGTTGCGTAGTGTCACCTCCGCTCTCTAAGGCACACACACACACATTGCGCGATATCTCTCCTCGCCCCACCTCAAGCTCTCTCCTCGCCCCACCTCAAGCTCTCTCTTCTCGCCCACCCTCAGGCGCTCCTGAGACAGAACCACTTGCACTCTCGTTCGCAATCAAGGCGGAATGGCGGGATGGGCTGAAGGCTAATAGGTCCGAAGCCCTGCTTCTGGGGTGCTGGGCGTGCTGATTAAGAAAAGACCTGCAGGTTGGCACTCCAAGGCTCCAGGTGGGCCGAGTCTAGAGCAAGCCCGAGAAGGCCCCAAGACGGCCCCGAGACAATCCCGACACGACCCAATCTTGCCCAAAGGGACTGACCAGGGCCCAAAGGCAAGTCAACACTACCTCACCAAGACGGCCACCAGACGGCACACAAGGTTGCCAACGATACTAGAGAGCCCCAAGAACAGCACACGAGGCTCCAGGAGACACCGAGATGCCGTCTGAGAGGCCCAACAAAGGGGTCATCTTTTCGGCCACAAGGTGGCGGTTTTGACTCCCTGGAGGTTTCCCTGATGATGCCGACGTCCAGAAATCATCATCATCATCATCATCATCATCATCATCATCATCATCATCATCATCATCATCATCATCATCATCATCATCATCATCATCATCATCATCATCATCATCATCATCATCATCATCATATATAGATACAGCTGAGCCATACTGATGGCCAAGCGTGCTCCTTTACCCGAATTTAGCACGAAGAGTGAAGTGACATCGCTGGGAGTACCAGGCTCACCTGCGGGAGCCATGGGAAGGGGACGACCCCCGGGCGGGCCTACCCCACCCCACCCATTCGGGCCCCGCGCTCTCCCGAAGCCGCCGAGGCAGTCGAGGATGCCGTGCGAGCTTCCGCCGTCGCACTGGGAGGAGCTGGGCGTGAGCGTGGTCGCGGCTGGGATCCGGCGATCTCCGCGACCACATGCTCGCGCTCCTCCTCTCCCCGTTCCTCGTCTCCTCCTCCTCCGCCGCTCGTCGCCGCTGGGGCATCACCAAACCTGGTCTCGCCTCCCCGGGCCCCTCTCGATCACGGTCGAAAGTGCTTGTGGCCGCCCTGGTGCTCGATAGTGGCGGTGCATCGGTCAGAATCCAAGTTCAGTTCCCTGGCATAGCTCGCTCTCCCCTTTTCCCTGTTCCTCCTACTTCTCCTCCCTCCGCTCGTCGTCACTGGGTCACCACCATACGTGTCGATATCCGATAGGGCGGCCTGGGCTTTTCGCCTGAATCGTCCTCACCGTTTATGATCATTAAGCCTCAGAGCTGAAACAACTAAAAAGATGGATGCCTGTACCTTTTCAGAATGGCCCCTCGCCTCAACGTCGCGCACATTCATGCTGGAAGTGCAGGCTCATCTTAAAACATCCCAGCAGCTACAAGGGCGGATGTCGGATTAGGATGTGGATATCTCATTAGCGACGAGCGCCATTGCCTTTACGTTTGCAGCAACGACACCGTTAGAGGACGGCTCCCTCATCAAATTCCTTCCTATATCAGTTGGAACTGTTAGGCTTGCGCGCCATCTGCACGTATGGAAAATCGTTCCTTGTCAAAGCGGGGGCTGTCGTGGGACACCCAGCTGAGCTTCATGGTCCTGGTTTTTTCCGCACTCCTCCTCGTCCGCCTGGATGCATGGCACCCCCTCTTCGCCAGGGGGGCTGTCGCCTGAATGACAAGACCACGGGGCGCTCGTTTTTCAAGGGGTCGCCTCGTGTAGTGAAGTGGTGAGGCAGGCGTGTAAGGATTTTTGGAGGGTGGCCGCGAAATCCTCGTCGACAGTGGCTTGTGATCTAAGAATGATAAACCTATGTTCGTTATGTTCAGATGATACCCCCATTGGATTATTGGCCTGTGGAGGGATCGGTGGCCCCCCCCCTCTCACCGGATCATTTTCATTCCGGAAAAATGCATTTGGGGTCGACATTCCGACATGACATAATGAACCAGGGTAGATCCCAGTCCAAACTCCTTCTCAAGCGCCCCCCCCTTCCGCCAGATCATGATTATTCCGGAATAATGAACCGGAGTTTACTATTCCCAGAGCATTAGGGAACCCAGTTCATGATGTAAGGTCAGTATTGTAACATAATGAATCCCAACTTGGAGGCGGGGAGTGGGGGGAAAATAATAGTGATAATGATTCCGGAATCATGAATCTGGATGCAGAATATCCGCCTATGGCTCAAGCGACGCCCCTCAGCCTCCATTATTAGCATTCCAGAATAAGAACCTGGGGTTCATTATTTCCGAAACATCATTAACCCCAGTCAATATTCCCAGAACATTATCAGCCCGAATTAATATCTTTTTGGGGTCGGTATGTCCGGAACATCATAAACCAAGATTCATAATGTTCCGGGGGGGACATATATGAACCCCAGCCAATATGTCCCGGAACATTCAAACCCAGGTAATGATGTTCCGGGGGGGGGGGAACATTATGAACCCTGGTCAAATAACCCCGGAACATTATAAACCCAGGTTCATATATTTTTGGGTTTCGTCCTGGACTTTTGAAGAGGGAGCTTGGGACTGGAGGGTGTGCGTTGCAGCATCGTTGGTGCATCTTGGGCTTACTCTGGTGACTCTGGTCCTCCTCCTCGGTCGGAATATGACGGCATGACAACTCGCAGCCGAACCTAGCATTGGGCAGCAAGGACAAAAGAAGGGGGATGGAAGAGAGCTGTAACAGCACGGTCCGAGTACGCTTGACCGCCCCCCTTATGGACACCCACCGAGCCCTCAGGAGGCCACCCAGGGGAAGGGTCAAAGAGCTCCCAAGAATCCTCCTCCACGTCAACCTTCCTCGGGATGGCTCCCGAGTTCACTGGCGCCGGAGGTCTCCAGGGGCCCCCCCAAGTCCCAGGAAACCCCCAGAGGTCCCTCGAGGACACAGAGGGGCCGAACACGTGCCATGACTTTGATCCTCGACCTCCCCCTTCCTCCTCCTCCTCCTCCTCCTCCTCCTCCTCCTCCTCCTCCTCCTCCTCCTCCTCCTCCTCGTCCGCCCCGCTTGGGCGGCGCGTTTTCGTTGTTCCCTCCTCCTCCTCCGCCCCGCTTGGGCGGCGTGCCGCTCGGGCGACCCGCACGCGCTGTGCGCCGGGCTCCCGCGCGACGGCCCTTGGCGTCCAAAGCGGCGCCCACGGCCCCCGCGGGTGCGAGCGAACAAGATGCTCCCCTCCTGCGACGAAGGCTGCGGATGGCATTCGCCAGTGCTGATAGAGAGAGCCACCGTGGGGACCGTGGGGGGGCCCTTCTCCCTGCCGCCGCGAGGGGGGAAGGTAGAAGAAGCATAGGCAAAGGAAACAGGGGGAGTGATCGAACGGCGGGGACCATGGAGGCCTGCTGCTCCTCCTCCTCCTCCTCCTCCTCCTCCTCCTCCTCCTCCTCCTCCTCCTCCTCCTCCTCCTCCTCTCCGGCCACATCTGCTTGGCCCCCTCGCGAGCTTCTGGGCGCCGGGCGAAGGAGGCGCGCTGCCCGCCCCCGCTGGGGGCTTGCCGGAGCTCCCGCGGCAGCCGTTGCCGCGCGTCCCGCGGCCGCGTTGGCCGCCCTGCGGTGCACACGCGCGCGCACGCGCGCTCAAGGGCGGAGCGAGGCGGAGGATTCGCGATCGACGAACATATCCATATCCACGCCCTCGGGGTCTGGATTCCGGGGCGCGATCCCGCGGATGTGCGGTCGCATGGATACGTTCCGCGCAGGCATCTGGGAAAAAACGCACCGTATCCTTGGGGCTGTGGCCCAGGGGCCTGGCCCGCGAGGCCGTGGGATATGGATGTGCCTCCCGCCCGCGGAGGACGGAGGAGGATCGACGGGTCCAGCACCCAACGCTTTAGCCAAGCAGAGGGACGGGGGGGGGGCGCACTTGCCAGAGAGCGGACGGGCAATCACGGAGAGCGACGCAGTGCCATTCTGAGCGCCCTCGAGAGCAAAGACCAGCAATCGCCTTTGGAGGCGGGGGAGCAAGAGAGGCGGGAAGGGAGAGAAGGATCGACATTTTCGGGCGCTTCCGGAACCTTCTGGAGCCTGTGGGTGCCTCACGGGCGAGGAGAGGGGAAGGGAGAGGAGAGGAGGAGGAGGAGGAGGAGGAGGAGGAGGAGGAGGCATAGCAGCAATAATGATAGACATGAGAAAAAACGAAGAATAACACGAATAACGATACTCATACGAAGAATAGCCAGGAGGAGGAGGAGGAGGAGCGCACGTTCTTTGGAGTACCGTGAGTTAATGCCTCGTGAGCCCCGCATGGCGAAGGGAAAGTTGGAACAGTATAGCTGCCAAGCTGGCCTGGGGCGTCCATGATTCCAGTCCTGAGCATCTGGAAGATCGAGTCGGCGAGAGCCAGCAGGTCGTGAGCTACATTCAACGGCAGATCAGCATCTTCATACTCCAACTCCGTCCCCAGGCCAAGCCATAGGCCATAGGTAGGGGGTCAGCGGGAGTAGAAAGGCGAGGACGGGTGATTTGGGGAAAGTGGCGAGGACAGGAGACGTAGTGGATGAACGAGTCTGGAGAGGTAGGGCATTCAAATCTGCATGGACGTGGGGTCCGGATCTTCACTCTGCGGCTACTGAACCACCCCCCCGCTGGTGCTTCGACATGAGCCCGGGTCTTCGAGGGCGTGGCCTTGGACCGAGCGTGCCTGAATCTGGCCAGGTGGTGGAGGGAGGGCCCCGAGTTCTGCACACCGAGAGGCGGGCCCTGCGAACGGCAGGAGCCGCCGACAAGCAGCTGGCGTGCCGAGCCTCGTCCCCCCTGCTTCCTCTCCTCTGGAGGAGGAGGAGGAGGAGGAGGAGGAGGAGGAGGAGGAGGAGGAGGAGTCCCTCCTCGCCTGCCCCCCTTCGGCAGTCAGAGCAGCCGTCTCTGTACGCTTCAGAGGGGCGCGGCGGGGGGCCGGCTCGCCCCGTGCCCGAAGGGACGGCAGCGCTGGCCCAGCGGAGAGCAGGAGCCGCCGTCTGGGGGCCAGGCTTAAGTCGGGCCTGTCCCCCATACAGGGGGATTTTCGACTAAAAATGCAAAAAAAACAAATAATCAAAACAGAATCCAAAAATAGTCAGGGGACTATTTGTTGGGGTATGGTTTACCTTTTTGGTGAATTTTTGGGGTATTTTTCGTTTTTCTATGAAAATCCCCTTGTAGGGGGACACGCCCGACTTAAGGCTAGGCGCCGTCCCTTGTTGCCCCTATCTCTCCCCCCCCCCTCCTGCGCCTCCTTGCCTCGAGCCTCCCCTCCCCTCTTCTCCTCTCCTTCCAGAGGGCGACCAAGAGCTGCTTTTTGCCAGGATGTTTCGGGGGTCTCGGATGGAGGCTGGAGCGCCCGGGGTACATCGCACGACGAGTCCAGACAACGCGGGCTCCAAACGCGCGAGGGGTTCTGAAACTTCGGCGGGCACCAAGCATACTCATGGTCCCGCGGAGCCCACGATTCCAGTAGCGATCAGGAGAGGCCGTGGGCAGGTGGTGGGTGGAGTGCCACAGTCTTCTCTGGGGTTCTCTGCACTGCGGAGTGGTGCCGACAGAGGTGCCGCTCTGCGTCTTTTGGGTGCACCGCGACTGCGATCGAGCTACTCCAGATTTCGTAATAAAGGGAGGGGGGTCTCATTTCGGGGGGGGTCTCTTCCAGGCTATCTTGGAGGGCCTGGGGGGGTCTGGCGACGATGTTCTGGAGGGTTCTCCCAGGGGGGGGGTCTAAAACTTCTCGTCTGGGAGGGTTGAGACCCCCTCCCTTTTATTACGAAATCTGGAGTAGGCTTCGTGGTGAGTCGCGACGGCGCTTGGCCACACATCGCAAACCGTCGCTCGGGTGTAGCCCGATCCTGGGGGCTCTCGCTGGATGGGAAACTCTGCTGGCCCCCGATGGGTTCTCATCTGATCTGATCTGGTCAGGTCTGATCTGGTCTCGTCATTATCATTACCATCATCATCATCATCATCATCATCATCATCATCATCATCATCATCATCATCATCATCATCATCATCACGATCATTACCATAATCGTCATCACCATCATTATCACGATCATCACCATAATCATCATCACCACCATCAACATCACCATTATCGTCATCATCATCATCACCATGATCAGCATCATCATCATCATCATCAACATCATCATCATCATCATCACCAGTATCACGATCATCACCATAATCGTCATCACCACCATCAACATCACCATTGTCGTCATCATCATCACCATGATCATCATGATCATCATCATCATCATCATCATCATCATCATCATCATCATCATCATCATCATCATCATCATCATCATCATCATCATTATCACGATCATCACAATAATCGTCATCACCACCATCAACATCACCATTATCGTCATCATCATCACCATGATCAGCATCATCATCATCATCACCACCATCATCATCATCATCATCATCAGCATCATCATCATACGCATCAGCATCAGCAAAATCATCATCAGCATCGGCACCAGCATCAGCATCAGCATCTGCATCATCATCATCATCATCATCATCATCATCATCATCATCATCATCCTCATCCTCATCCTCATCCTCATCCTCGTCATCATGGACACCACCACCATCATCATCACCATCATCATCAGCTTGGTTCTTCTTGAACCTGCCCTAGGCGTTGTCTTTTCAACTCGGCGTGTTGGCAATCGTTGTTTCAGCATCCTTCAGGTCCCACCGAAAAAGACTGCGCACGCCGAAACAACGACTCGATTGTCTTTGCGTTTTTTCAGCTCCGTTTCTTAGCATCTTCAGATCGGTTGGCTGCAGTGTTCAACAGTCCCATCTGCGACGTGTATGCAGTAGGAGGAGGAGGAGGAGGAGGAGGAGGAGGAGGAGGAGGAGGAGGAGGAGGAGGGGGAGGAGGAGGAGGAGGAGGAGGAGGAGGAGGGCTGCAGCGTCCTGAGCTCCCTCTCCTGGCATGCAGCCTGGCGGGCCCGATGGCCGATGGCCCCTCCTGGGGCCATCGGGCCGTCGGGCCTCCGGGCCTACTCCGGGCGGATGTCAGACCGGCGTCGGATCGATTCTGGTTGTGGCTGCTGCGTTTTTATGAAGGGGAACTGGGACGCACAAATAAATACACACAAATAAAATGATTCCCCATATTTTCCCATATTTTCTGGGTTTTTGTCTTCCCGCCAATTCCCATATTTTCCTACATTTTCCTGGGACTCGACGATTAATTGTGTCTGTGTGTTTCTTTCCCTCCTGATTTTAGCTCTGCGAGGGAGGAGGACGGCAGGAGCACGCGGGAGCGAAGACAGCAGGGAAGACAAGCAACAGCCTTCGACCAGAGAGCAACCAACGCTGGAGAAGGATGATCCACAACGGCGGGGCAAAAACGTTAAACAACATCGCGCTACAAACGCAAAAACGCCGTCGCGTTTTCATAGCGCTTGTCAAGTGCCCCCAGAATACAAAACGGACAAAGAAATGCTCGGGGCGTTTTCTAGGAAGAACACAGATAATCAGCATCATCATCAGCATCACCTCTACGCAATCATCATCACCAGCACCAACACCATCACCAACACCACCATCAGCATCACCATCACCGTCACCGTCACCATCACCATCACCATCACTACCACCATCATCATCATCATCATCATCATCATCATCATCATCATCATCATCATCATCATCATCATCATCCCCATCATCATCATCATCATCATCATCATCATCATCCTCATCCTCATCCTCATCCTCATCCTCATCCTCATCCTCGTCATCATGGACACCACCACCATCATCATCACCATCATCATCAGCTTGGTTCTTCTTGAACCTGCCCTAGGCATTGTCTTTTCAACTCGGCGTGTTGGCAATCGTTGTTTCAGCATCCTTCAGGTCCCACCGAAAAAGACTGCGCACGCTGAAACAACGACTTGATTGTCTTTGCGTTTTCGGCTCCGCTTCTTAGCATCTTCAGATCGGTTGGCTGCAGTGTTCAACATTCCCATCTGCGACGTCCTGAGTCTGAGGAGGAGCAGGAGGAGGAGGAGGAGGAGGAGGAGGAGGAGGAGGAGGAGAAGGGGAGGAGGAGGAGGAGGAGAGAGGAGGGAGGAGGAGGAGGAGGAGGAGGAGGAGGAGGAGGAGTTCCTTCTCCTGGCATGCAGTCTGGCGGGCCCGATTGCCGATGGCCCCTCCTGGGGCCATCGGGCCGTCGGGCCTCCGGGCCTACTCCGGGCGGATGTCAGACCGGCGTCGGATCGATTCTGGTTGTGGCTGCTGCGTTTTTATGAAGGGGAACTGGGACGCACAAATAAATACACACAAATAAAATGATTCCCCATATTTTCCCATATTTTCTGGGTTTTTGTCTTCCCGCCCAATTCCCATATTTTCCTACATTTTCCTGGGACTCGACGATTAATTGTGTCTGTGTGTTTCTTTCCCTCCTGATTTTAGCTCTGCGAGGGAGGAGGACGGCAGGAGCACGCGGGAGCGAAGACAGCAGGGAAGACAAGCAACAGCCTTCGACCAGAGAGCAACCAACGCTGGAGAAGGATGATCCACAACGGCGGGGCAAAAACGTTAAACAACATCGCGCTACAAACGCAAAAACGCCGTCGCGTTTTCATAGCGCTTGTCAAGTGCCCCCAGAATACAAAACGGACAAAGAAATGCTCGGGGCGTTTTCTAGGAAGAACACAGATAATCAGCATCATCATCAGCATCACCTCTACGCAATCATCATCACCAGCACCAACACCATCACCAACACCACCATCAGCATCACCATCACCGTCACCGTCACCATCACCATCACCATCACTGCCACCATCATCATCATCATCATCATCATCATCATCATCAGCATCCCCATCATGATCATCATCATCATCATCATCATCATCATCATCATCATCATCATCATCATCATCATCATCATTATCGTCATCGTCATCGTCATCGTCATCGTCATCGTCATCAGCAACATCACAACCTTCGTCAGCGTCAACTTCATCAGCATCGCCATCGTCATCGTTATCGTCATACTCACCAGCGCCACCATCATCACCACCACTATCAGCATCATCACCACCACCGCCATCATCATCATCATCATCATCATCATCAGTAGCACCATTATCATTATCAGCGTCATCATCACGAGCATCAGCAGCACCAGCAGCAACATCATCATGCTCATCAGCATCAGCATCATCATCATCACCATCAGCATCTTCATCACCATCATCATTAGCAGCCTCATCATCATCATCATCATCATCATCAGCATCAAACTAGTAATCATCATCATTCTCATCATAATCAGCAGCAGCATCAGCATCGGCATACCTATCATAATCATCAGCATTAGCATCAGCAGTAATCGTCGTCATCATCATCATCATCACCATGGTCATCATCATCACCACCATCATACTCATCATCAGCATCACCACCATCATGCAACAACAGCATCACCATCATCATCATCACCATCACCATCACCATCATCGTCATCATCATCATCAGCAGCATCATCATCATCATCATCACCATCGTCATCATCATCATCATCATCATCATCATCATCATCATCATCATCATCATCATCATGCTCTTCGACCCCCTTCCTTCTTTCCCTCCCTCCCCTCCTCGCTCATTTCCCCAGCTCCTGCAAATTCGGCGGGCGTCGAGGGGTGCCGCCCGCCTTCCAGCTGCTCGCCCGCCATGGCTGCCCTTCAAGCTCGGAGGCCGACTGCACCTGGGGGAGGCAATTTTGGCAGGAGGGGGGGGGGGCTTTCTCTGACATCCTCGCGCTATGAAACCATGACTCCGCAAGGCTGTCGCTCTCTGAGGGCCCTGACCGGGCCCCGGAACCGTCACATGAAACATTCGGGATGGAAAGCCAGCCCCCGGGAAGGGGTCCAGACCTCAGGGGAGCCACGCTGTGAGCAAAATGCGACGTCGGATGTCTGGGATTTTTCTCATCAAATGCTGCACCGAAGGTGATGACTCGATCCTCAAGCACTGCACATCACCGCAGCAGAGGTGCGCCGCAGCGCGAGATGAACGCTGGCGGCCGTGGAATTGCACTCGTCCGCGTGCAAAAAAAAAGCATCGAAACGAACAGAGACCTGCACGGCCAGGCCCGCCCTTCTTCGTCTCGCTGCCGGAGGGGTCCATGGGGTTGCCGAACAACGAGGGCTCGGGGCGAACCCATGCTCCATGGAATCGCAATGCTCGAAGGGGCACAGATGCGGGGGGTAATGCGGGATGACGATTTATTAAAACATGGGGGGAACGATTCAAGAAATAGTTTTCTGCGATTTCTGCACAATTTTCGGACTGGAGGAGAACGATGAAAAGAAATAGTTTTCCAGCCCGCGGCCGGTTTTTTCTAGTCGTCATCCCGGGCGCCGCCGCGTGAACACGACCCCCGGTCATTTATTAATCGTCATCCTCCATTACGGCGAACATATCTCGTCTCACCGCCTGCGGTGAAGGAGCGGCACGTACAAAGCGTCGCCGACAGGAGCGCTGCCTCGGAGAGGCGCCAGGGAGGCTCGAGCACCCGACGGGCTGGCGCCCTCCCGGGCAGGCCGAGGGAGGGCATGGGCGTGAACTCCTCCCTCCTCCCTCCTCCCTCCTCCCTCCTCCTCCTCCTCCTCCTCCTCCTCCTCCTCCTCCTCCTCCTCCTCCTCCTCCTCCTCCTCCTCCTCCTCCTCCTCCTCCTCCTCCTCCTCCTCCTCCTCCCCCTCCCCCTCCCCCTCCCCGCGAGGGCCTGGGCTGGTCGCAGAAGCCAGCGGCCGACGGCGGGCGCTGCCGAGACAAGAGGCTTCCCCCTGGCGAGGGCCCGGCTGTGGCCGGCCAGAAGACTTGGGGTGACCCAGGAGGAGGAGGAGGAGGAGGAGGAGGAGGAGGAGGAGGAGGAGGAGGAGGAGGGAGGAGGAGGAGGAGGAGGAGGAGGAGGAGGAGGGAGGAGGAGGTAATTAGTGGGTGCAGCTGAGAGGGGGTGGTGCAATTAGAGTTGGGGCAATTGGATTGCACATGTATGGCGCCTGAGAATCGTATTGCATCGTCTTGCAAGCAATGGCATTGGCACGCGAGAGTGCAGCATAATGCATCTGCGCCGCGAAAAGGCACTGCACGCCCCGGGTGTACTGCACAACCCCACAGATCTGCTGCACCAGATCTGTTGCACCACCCCCTTGTCGCTGGACCCCCTTTTGGGTCAACCCGAAAGACGCGGACCAACTCCAAGAGCCTCGGGTGCCCACGAGGCAGTTGGGGGGGGGGAGCCACCCGGCTGGCTGTCCTGGGCCCGAGAAGGAGGAGATTCTCCTCCTTCTCGGGCTCCCCCTCCCTTCTCAGAAGGGATGGGGGAGCCCGAACAGCTGGGCTGACCAGGAGGGAGGAGGGAGGGAGGGAGGGGGGCTCCGGGCTCTGGAGACCTCCTGGGGCCTCCGGGGCCGTCGTGGGGACCTCCAGAAACTTCAAGAACGCCTCCCAGAAATCCGGCGTCGTGAGCTTGTCACAGCGTGGCTCCCAAGAGGTCTGGACCCCTTCCTAAGCCTCTCATTCTTGGTCGCTTTGAAATTGGCCAGGCGCCAGGTAAGAGGCCCCTCCCCCATCCCGTCTCCTAACAAATAATGGCTCTTTGTCGTCTACCAATCTGCTAGGTAAGTCCCACCCGCCCTCTGGGCGCAGGTGGTACAACGAACTTTCTCCTCCCTCTCCCCAAACGCCTTCTTCCCCTTTGGGGAACAACTTCTCGCCGCCCCTTAGATCACGTACACCCCGTCCCTCACTCTACTGGCCCTGAACCAGAGCCAGTTCCATCGCCCTCCCCCGCTGCCCCATGCACTTTGCACACGACACACTCAACATTCAGCGTGCACTTTGCGACAACATCTTGATCATGTTCGGGCGCACCGCGATCCCTTCACACTGTTTTTTCTTGACAGGGGCAGGGGAGAGTATTATATTGCCCCGCGCGCGCAGGCCCACCATCCCCGCCAAAAGCCAATGCAAAGTGCACTTGGGTGCGAAATCCTGGACCATACGAGGGGAGACCAGCGCTCATTGATATTGATGCAGGCCCCTGCTCATGCTGGGCTTCGGGTGCTGCTTCTGGTTTTGGGGGGCGGGTGGGCACAAGATGGCCGACGATAGCGGACATACGCCGTGAGGCCCCAAGACGGCCATAAGACAAGGCACCCCTCCAAGAGGCCAAATTCCTCCCAAACCTTTCCACACCAGTGATGTTTGCCTTCTCGTCTTGTCGCTTCCGGTGGGCCTCCAAGATGGCTCCAAGATGGTCCCAGAGAGCCCCAAGAGGAGCCTAAGAGGGCCATGAGACGGCCCAAGATGCCCCAAAGATGCCCCAAAAGAGATCTCCAAGACGGCCCCAAGAGGCTTTGTTTCTGCCTCCGAGGTGGGGATCCGAATTCGGCTCCTTCCCCCCCCGTATCCTTCTTGAGCCGTATCGCCCAACGTCGCCCCGAAGGATTGCAACAAAAACCCAGGATTGCAAAAAAACCCAAGGATTGCAACAAAAACTAAGGATTGCATAAAAAACCGAAGGATTGCAAAAAAACGAAGGATTGCAAAAAACTATAGGTTTTTTTGCAATCCAGAATTTCCCCAGCAGGAGGGCCCCACGACCATCCTCAAACCCCAAGAGGGCCCCGAGTCCCGAGAGGACCCCAAGAGGGCCTCAACAGATCCCCAGATGGCCCCAAGAGCCCTCCAAGAAACTCTCACAACAACTGATCCGCGGAGGCTTCCTCCTCCTCCTCCTCCTCGTCCTCCTCCTCCTCCTGATCCTCCTCCTCCTTCTTATCCTCCTCCTGCTCTTGTGCCCTTCCTCCTCCTCCTCCTCCTCATCATCCTCGAGCCTCCTCCTCCTCCTCCTCCTCCTCCTCCTCATGATCCTCTTCCTCTGGCTCCTCCTCCTCCTCCTCCTCCTCCTCCTCCCTCCCCTCCTTGAACCTCCTCATCCAATCAACTCACACGGGCATTGTTTCTGGATGGGCTGGTGGGGACGCAACATGCAAGAGCAGTGGGGAAGGAGGGAGAGGGGAACCGTCGAACCAGCACAATCAGGGCGGCCTTCCTATCCCTGCCATGCTTCAGAGACCACTGCTGGTGGGGGTACTTTTTTTAGTCAGCGGCCGCGGGTGAGCGCGCCAGCGGCGAGTCAGGTCAAAGCGGACTACGCAGAGACTAATCAGGCAGAGGCGGCGCGGAACGCTACAGCTAACGCGGCAAGCCGGGACCTCACGCAGCGGCCCAGCGGCAGGTGGGTGGCAGGAGGGACTGAAACTGAGTGGAACTGCCAGCGTGCAGAGATGCAGGCCCGTCGAAGGCGCCAGAAGTCGGGATATAAACGACGACCAGGGACAACTCCGAGAGATAACGCATGGAACCGGACCTCAAGCAGCTGCGTGGGCACCAGGGTGGCCGCGGCCAACGAACCGCCAGTCGAGGTGGGAATGAGAAATGCAAAGGCGAGGCCCCGGACGTGGCTGGTGGGGGTACGCGAAGCGTCCTGAGGTCCAACAGTTACACGGATGGAGGAAGGACTTTTTGCACAAGCAGGCTCTCGCGTTGGCGCCGAGCACACTCGTCGTCTTGAGATAATCCAGCAGTCACGCGGATGGAGGGCGAGTTGTTTTCAAAGTGGGACGCTCGCCTTGGCGCCGCGCACACTCGTCGAAAGCAATCAAACAGTCACGCGAACGGAGGGCATTCAAAACGGGGCTATCGCATGGGGTTTCCTCGACATGCGCTAACACAGTTACAACGTTGCGCAACAATTACGCGGATGGAGGGTGACTGCTTTTCAAAATCGGGCCATCGCTTTGAGACTCATCAGCGGCTACTGCCAGAAGGCTGGCATTGTGCAACACTTGTACGGGTGCAGACTGGCTCATTCTTGAACTGCATGGCCTCGCCTTCTCGCTTTCCGTACATATCGAAGGATTCAGAGCGGCTTCTTTCAAACAGAGGCTCCCGCCCGAATTGCGGGCCCACGGTGCCCTGATCATTCCAGGGCGGCGGCGCTTCGCGCGGTGTTCGAAAATATTCGTCAGGACTCATGCAGGAGGGAACCCTGGAACTTGGGACGGGAGGGTGTCGCAGCATCGCTTGGTACATCTCCGATTTACTCTGGCCCTCCTCCTCCTCCTCCTCCTCCTCCTGCCCCCCCTGCCGTAAGCGGATCTGGGCACGCCTCGAAAGAGAGGCCGTCGCCAGCGGGGCCTCCGACCGGGAACCACCTGGCGGGACTGCCCTGGCTCTGCGTGCCCAACCTCTCTCCACCCCTGCTTCTGCAATTCCTCCTCCTCCTTCTCCTCCTCCTCCTCCTTTCCCTGCCCCTCATCATCCTTCACCTTCTCCTCCCTCCCTCCTCCGGCTTCTCCTCCTCCCCACTCCTCCTCCACCTGCTCCCTCCTGCGCTCTCCTCCTCCGTCCTCCCTCCTCCTCCTCCTCCTCCTCCTCCTCCTCCTCCTCCTCCTCCTTCCCTTCGCCTCCCCCCCACACCACCCCACTCCTCTGCCTGCCCCGCCCCTGGCCCTTGCCTCCCCTCTCCTCTCCGCCCCTCCCCCCCCCCATCGCGCCCCTCCCCTTTCCGCCCCGTCGGGGTTCCCCTCGTCCTCCCCCCCGTTTTCTCCGCCTGCTCCCTCCCCCCCCCGCCTCTGGTCCCCTCCGCCCTCCCCCGGTCGTCGCCCCTCCCGCCTCTCCTCGTCGCTCCCCCTCCTTCCGCCGGCCCCCTCCCTCCCCTTCCTCCCTCCCCCTGCCTCAGCTGGCCCCTCCTGCCCCGCCCCTGCCCCCTCCCCTGCCCCCGCTGGCCCCCGCCCCCCGCCCCTGCGCCCCTCGCCGCCCCGCAGTTCCCCTCCCCCCCCCCCCCCCCCTCTCCCCCTTCTCTCCTCTCGCCTCCCGCTGTGCCCTCGGCCGCCCAACCCGGCCTGCCTCTGCTCCCGCGCTCCCTCGCTTCTCTTCCCTCGCGCCCCTCCCCTCCCCCCCCCCCCCTCGCGCCCCTCGCGCCGACCTCCCCTCTCGAAGCGCTCTCCGCCCCTGCAAGTCCCCCTCTTCCCTGGTCCGCCCCCCTCCCCTCTCGCGACCGCCCGCTCCCGCCTTCCCCTGCTCCCCTCACCGTCCTCTCCCACCTCGTCCTCGTCCTCTCACACCTCGTCCTCTCTCACCTCGTCCTCTCTCACCTCGCCTTCCCCTGCTCCCCTCATCGTCCTCTCTCACCTCGCCTCCCATCCCCACCCCCCTCTCGGGCGCACGTTGGCGCGGATCGGGGCAAAAATGCCGAAGCATGAGGGCCACACCACCTGATCTGGCGACCGGCCGCGGCGCCGATTCTGCACAGAAGCTGGACACCCGTCGCGAATCCACGCGTCTTGAATCCACACTTGAGCTTCATCGGGTCTTCCTGGCGGAGCGTGCAAGGGCATGGCGCGAGGGGGATGTCTTCTACGATGGCGTGGGCTTCTCAGAAAGCAGATGTACCTCTTTAGAATGTCCTGGAGGCTTCCAAGAGGACCTCTCAGAAGACGCCGGAGGGCTTCTAATCTAAGCAGGCCCCTACCTATTGAGAAGCCCCCCTCTCCCTCTCTCGGCGGCGAGCCCGGGGGGGAAAAGAGAGGGGGCGGGCTTTCTCAGAAGGCTCGGAAGTCCCGCGGCCTTCTAATAACTTTTCAAACACTTCCCTGGAGACACAGAAACCTCTTAGAAGGCCCGAGGCCTTCTGAGAGGCCCCGCCGCCTTCTGCGAAGGCATTCTTCTTCTACGTTCCCCCCTCGCTCACCGCCGATCTAATCCAAGAAGGCCCCTGCC